AAGCCTGAACGAGTCTCAGAGTTTCATCTACAGAGCGGCCAACAGGAAGGTCGTTAACTGTGATCTGCCAAAGGATACCCTTATCATCAATGATAAAAAGGCCCCTGAATGAGATGCCTTCATCGGCCTTTAAGACCCCATAATCCTGAGCAATGGCACGCTTGGGATCTGACACCAAGGGAATGTTCATAGGCCCCAATCCTCCTTGTTTCTTGGGTGTGTTGATCCATGCCAGATGACAAAAGTGAGAATCCACAGAAGCACCAATCATTTGGCAGTTAAGTTTTTTAAATTCTTCTGCCCTGTCACTGAACGCAATTATCTCCGTGGGGCACACAAAGGTGAAGTCAAGAGGATAAAAGAAGAATACAACATATTTTCCTTTGTAGTCAGACAGACTGATATCTTTGAACTGACCATCTGGCATAACAGCTGTGGCTTTAAAGTTGGGGGCAGGGTGCCCGATTTTGGCACTTCCAGAAGACATCTTGCTATCAGCAGTTCCGACGCCGGGATCTTCCAACCACAAACCACCAACACAGAGAGGAAGAAGACAGCCACAGTAGCATTCTTGACACTGCCTGACGTTCTGTACTCTGCATGTACCCTGTCATGTGACCATACCACCCATAGGCTCAAATGCAAGGGTGTGCTGGGCCTATTGCTATGAAGAGTCACACCCTGGCCATATCCTATTTATGGACAAGAAGTCTGCAGGGTTGAAAGGACAGCTCATCCAAACTTACTGTCCTCTTTCTCTGGGATCATCTGCAGAGACAGGTGGCCCCTCCAGTGCACCTCTGCTCAAGTATGCCATGACATCAGCAAAATCATGGGCAAGGTTTGGATAGGTGCATGCACATGTCCACACAGCTGCACGTAGACCTCTGGGTGAGCAGCATGAAGCCAGAAACAGATGAGATGACCACAGATGGGGGCTGAAGCTCACTGTCCACGCGACATGACATTGCAGAACAGAACTTCAGAGTGCCTTCACATTCTAAATTCAAATGTGGCATCCCAGGTTATGATGACACTATTCTTTCCAAGGTAGGAGAAGATAACATATTGACATACTTGCTAACCTAGATATCTTCTTTTGGGGGTTAGTGGTCAGGGATGTTGTTTTGAGACAGGGTCTTGGTAGTCTAGGCTGGCCTTGAACTTTGTATGTAGCCCAGACATGCTTCAAACTCTTGATCCTCTTGATCAGCCTCCTGGGTGCTGGAATTACAGGCTCCATGCCAGACTAAATCACAATCGTTCAATATTTAAAATATTTGAATGGGGGCTGGAAAGATGGCTCAGTGGTCTAAAGCACCTACTTGAAACAAGCTTGGCAAAGCACAGGGACCGCGGTTCGATCCCCAGCACCATGTGCCAGCCAGACCCGCCCCCTGGTGGGCTGAGCTGGCCACACACACACACAATAAATAAATGTAATAAATAAAAATAAATAAAATATTTGAATGTAGGGGCATTCATTTATTACCCTCCTCCCTCACTCTAGTTAATATTTGAAGCCTGTATGTGATCCTACGTCAGCTCAAAAAGTACACATTTACTGTGTCCTTTCCCAGATATATAAACTGAGACCTAGAACTATTAAGCAGCTTTCCAGAGCCCCACGCTAAGATTCAATTTAAGCAGAATTCTTAATGTGGGGGGCCAGGGAGATGCCTCAGTGGAATAAGCACTTCCCTGGCAAGCGCAAGGGCCTGAGTTCAATCTCTGGTTCTGCCAAAAAAAAAAAAAAGAAAAAGAAAAAAAGAAGAAGAAGAAAAAGAAGAATTCTCAACATGAGATTTCTAACGAGCAGCAGCAGCAGGAGCATCTGGAAACTTGTTGGAAATGTGGATTCTTGGGGCTGGTGATCTGTAGCTCAGCAATAGTGTGCTTAGCATGCACAAGGCCATGGAGTCAAGCCTCAGCAACTGAAAAGGAATAAAGGAAGAAGGAAATAAACGTAGACTTTTCTTGCTGAGTCAGAAATTGGTGAGTCACAGCCCAGCACGTCATGTCACTAGATCCGTAACTGATGCTTAGATACAGCTCTATTGCCTGAGCTAAGCATTGTGCCATCCCTGCAGATGAATGCTGTACACCTTTATCACAAGGATAACACCCTCTTCTCTGAGAAGTGCTCTACCAGACTGCCTGTCTCTATCAAGGTCACCCTGCTCCTCACCACAGCCCCTCAACTCCCCTTCTTTGTGCAGATGTTCTCTGCCCCTTCTCAGCCAAGCTTGAAGAAATGTCCTCCTCAGCCCTTGCTCACATATCTCACAACCTCTCACCCAAAACAACAGTATCAAAACAAACAAACAAAAAACAGTATCAGCATACCCCTAGTTACCACATTCATTGGCTTCTTGGTCCTTTTTCCAGGAGCTTGCTCGGTGACACTTCACAATGTCCCTTGATCCCTTGAGACAGAGGCCACCCTGGACCTTCACCCACAGAATCTAGTCATTCCTCAGCCTCCTCTGGATGCTCCTCTCCTCAGAGAGAGAGAAAGAGAGGATCCACTGGAATGGATCGATTGCATTCCTTGGGCTTCCAACTGACTTCATTTTCCATCTGTACCCTGCCATCCTTGATTTTTTTCTTCATTCAACCCCAGGCCTTTAGCTTCCACATTATATTGCCAGGAATTTTGCTGAGTTCCCGAGAATGGAGTGTTTCCAGAGTTGCCTCATCTTTTTTTTTTTTTTTTTT